CCCATTTATCAGTCTTTATGCTAAGCTATCTTAGCCGGCTGATAGCGGCAGCTTCATTTGTCATGTACAGATATGATCATGGTCTCAATGTTCTCTTTGCAGCCAAATGGGTGGAAAGAGATTCAAACATCCCATTAAAACACAATTTATCTCATAAAACGCTAGTGGCAGGTGCTTGACTTGTATATTTATATGGATCAATAATAAAAATACCAGATTAAAAAAAACAACTTTTTGCAGCAGGAAAAGAAGGAACAGTCACGATGAGGCTACAGATTAACACTATTCTGAGTCTTTATGCTAAGCTAAGTTAGCCAGCTGCTTTATATTTGGTCTACAGAGATTAATTTTCTCATCTAACTCTACACAAGAGAGTCAATATTCAAATTAAAGTACAATTGATCTCAAAAACCACCAGTGACAGACACTTGACCTTTATTTCTAAACAGCTAAGTAGTGAAACTCCTCCATGGAGAGGTGAGGAGAGGGTGGCAGCGAGGTGTTGGGGGGAATACCTCCACGACAACACTGTGAAGACATGATGCTGTGGGAAAATCTGCTCATGTCATCAGTGCAGTTCAGTAACCCGACGCCTCCCTGCGCCGCGATTCAATAAAAACGGAAGAAAACACACCTTTGGGAGGGCAAACACATTCCAGCATCTAGATGTGACATGCCCTCAGAGGCACACCCTGCCTGCAAAGTAGACTTTTGTGAGGAAACGCTGCATTCAGGAGGCCTTTGTGGCTCTTCAGTGGAGTGCTGTGAAGCTGGATCTTTGTGCAACACGAAGCAGACGATGTGCAAAAAGCGGCTCCTGAAGCGGCAGCATCGACTCACCTGCGTCTTTCTGTACTCGATGAGCTGCGACAGGCCGAACGCCGCGGCCACCGCCCCGCCGCCGACCACCGCCGTCCGTTTCAGAGCCTTCCTGAACGCCATCGGCCCTGTGGTGGGAGGACAGAGCCGAGAGGAGACACAGCTGAAGCTATAAGACTCCGACAGGGATCACGTGAAGGAGTTATGCAGAGGAGTTAAGTAAAGAAGGAGTGGGAGGATCCAGAAAGTTGCTCGTCAGGCTGAGAGACACACCAGCTGCAAAGTTCTCTGAAGCATTATCAAACCAAAAACGAACCGGCAGATCTGTCGATATGGGAACTTACTGTCAGCTGCACCTTTTGAAAAGTACTTTTGTTGGTCAAGCTGTGCAGAATTAACATATTTTATAAACTTTCTCTGCAATAATTGAGGTAATTTAACACACTTCTTCAGAGTTAAGGAGTTTTTATTCGGGAGCAAATGCAAAATAAAGGAACATTTAACAAAAAGGGACAAACTTTTACTTGCTTTCTTGCTGAGCGTGTTAATAAAATGGTTTAATTAATGAAGAAAAAAGTAATTAAATAATTCTTTGTTATTTTCATTAAATATTTTTTAACATTTGTATAGTTAATACTTATTTTTCAATCAAATATTAATTATTATATTTTAAAATTGTGTATAAATTATCATTAAGCAGTTTAATTACTATTAAGAAATATAATAAAAATTATTTTAAAACTTATTTAAAAAAATTCTTAAATAAAAATTAGATTATCATATATTTAAAAATACTACATTAGAATTATTTGATATTAAATATTAATTATTAGACGTTATATTTTTAGGATAATTCTAAAATTGTTCTTAAGATAAATTAAATTACAATAATTTTAAAAAATTGTGAGTGAAAGTTTATTTAGTTCTTAATAAAAAATAATTAGCATATTTTGACACAACATATTTTTAGATTATTTTATATATTGTATATTAATTCTTATGTTAGATTTTTCTGAATTATGAAATTATTATTCAAAAAATATTATTAAAAAAATTATGAAACTAAATTAACTTTAAAAATTTGACTCGTATAATAACTATTAAAACATCAGATTAACTCATTTAACAGGACTTTACTGGCCTCCACTCTGCTGCTTTATCCACTTTCACATTCTCACATACCAGACAGTATAAGAGCAACTGTTGAGGACGCCGGTTCCATATTTCTATAATGATCTGTGCACCATAAAGAGCACAACATGACACCAGCGCTGCCTGGCAGGGTCCAGGCCTCAAATCCCAGCAGGAGAAGCCCAAAAAAAGTATTTGCATTCCTACTTTAATGCACTTTGAATACAGGTTTCCAGGGAGCGGCCAACACTGAGGCAGATTCTAATGCATTTTAATAAAACGACAGCTACAGATGGCTCAAATGTCAATAAGCCAGTTTGGTGTAACTAATGACCGAATACAGCGCTAATGTGTCAGCCAGACAGCAGCAGCAGCAGCAGCAGCAGCACAAATCTGGGTTTTTATTCAGTATTTTTTGTATTTTTATTCACCAAATTATGAACTGTGGTCTGTCACAGAAACTAAAACTATTCAAAACAACAAAACTCAGCTTAAAACTTCTAGAAATGAGTAAAGCGTGATGGTTTTGCACCTGTAGTCGCCTAAAACTGCACATCAGGCTTCGCTTTAGACACATTAGCGTCTTGTATATCATGTTATAAGGACAGATTCATTTATCCAGCAACAGGTTTAATGAATCCGTGAAGTTAGAGCTGAAAACGAGCTAACAGTGCAAACTGTGGTTCAATCAGAACAGCTAGAGGATTAATTAAAAATGAACTAAAACCTGAAATATTTTACTCATCGTAAAGTTTGCAAACGTTAAATCCTTTCCAAATTTGCCAAATAGATTCTGAGATCACAGACTACTTACTTTATGTATATTAATGGGATTATTTGGGGAAGACAACAGGACCAGGGATGGAATTTAAGAACCGGTTCAACTCGAGAACCGCTTCCTAAATTCTCCAATCTGTCAGAATCGTATGCTTCAGAGCTTTCATCGATGCTGGCATTTACAAAACAATGATGTTAGCCTCATGCATGCCTTTGTTTTCCCGATTCTACACCAAGCAAAGACTTTAAAAACTACTGTTTTTCCTGCAAAAAGGCTTTTTTTTCAGCAATTTAAAGCTTTTTAACCACTTTTGTGAATTGGAGCTTCATTTACTCACACATATTTGACATTTTAGTTGATGAAATGTTTAGAAATATCAAAAAAATGGGAGATTTCTGTTCAATACGGTTCTTTGGTTTTGCTGTACATGGACCGATCAGCTGACTGTCGTACAAAATCACCTCCTGAAGGTTTATTGTGGAGCAGAAAAAAACCTGCAGCTGCTTTAAAAAAAAAATAATAAAAAATTAAAATCCAGAGAGGTCGGTGTGACGAAGGCAACATATAAAAATGCTGCGTTTAAAGCACATCACTTCCACAAGTTCAGCCCATTTCTGGATCTGACCTCGAGAAGAAAAACTACTTTTCAGGTTACAGCTGCACAGAAAAGCACATAAAAAGGACAATAAACTCCAACTGGAATCACATCAGAAGTTTGCTTTGCATTAAGGTGCAGGGTGGTGTTCAGTCACCTCCCTGCCAATCACAATAAAAACACGTGGATTTGTTGACCTTTGAAATGCTCTGACGAACGTGCAAACATACACGCTGCTGCCACATGACGGCCCGACCTGTGGAATAATGTACATGTCATTTACTTCCCCTTAATCCACTCGTGCTATCATAGTGTCTCATCTCTGCAGCCAGGCTTCTATTTCAGTTTTTAGATTTATTGTATTGTGGGTTGCAAAGGCTTCCATGTTTACAGTGACTACAAAGGCTCATTCATTTAGATTCAGGAATTTTAAGACTCTGCTGACTTTAACAAAATCATTTATTAACTGTAACACTACAGGCGACGAAAAGGCAAAGTCTCTGAGCATGACTGCAACCAGAAAAGCAAATATATCGGGTAATATGGATTTATTTATGAATCAGGTTGGAGGTTTAGAAACCATCGTAAAGAATATTCAGAACTAAATACGAAACTGATTTCAGCCTTTTGTGGTAGATTTAATCACCAGCTAAGAATTTACTTTAGAATCTGTAGTCTTGGCGAGGATAAAAAGTTCAGATTTAGGGCGATAAAAGTTGTTTCCTAAAGTCTAAAAATGACAAATGTCTTGTTTTGTCCAAAGAGGTTCAGTTTACTGTCACAGAGGAGGAAAAAAAACAGAAAATGTCCACATTTAAGAAGCTAAAAATCACAGAATTGAGACTTTTTTTCTTCAAAAATGACCCAAATTGATTATTCAACTGTAAAATAGTTGAAGATTAAATAAATAGTTGACAACTAATTGATTAACTGTTGCTTTGAAGTTTATTCCGGACTGAGTTTCACTTATGATGGCATCAGAATTCCTTAAATTGAGTTCGCTTGAGGCTCTAAAAGATTGTTGGGGACCAAAAGTTTGGTTATAAATGCGAGTAAATGTTGTTTCCTAAAGTCTAAAAATGACAAATGTCTTGTTTTGTCCAAAGATGTTCAGTTTACTGTCACAGAGGAGAGAAAAAAACAGAAAATGTTCACATTTAAGAAGCTAAAAATCACAGAATTTAGACTTTTTTTCTTATAAAATGACCCAAATTGATTCTTTGACTGTAAAAATAGTTGAAGAATAAATAAATAGTTGACAACTAATTGATTAACTGTTGCATTGAAGTTTATTCCGGACTGAGTTTCACTTACGATAGCATCAGAATTCCTTAAATTGAGTTCGCTTGAGGCTCTAAAAGATTGTTGGGGACCAAAAGTTTGGTTATAAATGCAAGTAAATGTTGTTTCCAAAAGTCCAAGATAACAAAAAAAAGTCTTATTTTGTCCAAAGACATTCAGTTTACTGTCACGGAGGAGGAAAGAAGCCAGAAAATGTTCACATTTAAGAAGAAGCAAGCAGAGAATAGAGACTTTTTTTTCCTGTTAAACTTAAAAGAGTTGTGTTGCTTCTTGTTTGACGGCTTTGCATAAATCCAAATTTGAACAGGAATCGGTTATCTGACCTGGATGTAGACTAATGAGCGAGTTAAACAGTCAGAAAGCTCATCCTCATGCTCACTTTGGGAAAATCACAGTTCTGCAGGCTCACGGTGAGTCAGCAGCAGAACAGCGGCTTCCTGTGTGTAACATGGGCTGCTTGATTCATACTTCAGCGTAAACATCACGACGTGTGCCGTGTGAAATAAGGCCGGACTAACTTAAACACATCACGTGAAAACTCTTCTGCTGCTCGATGCAAAAAGGAAAACTAACTTCCCATGACGAAACTATAAAAGAAGTCTGTCTGGTGGCGCTTTCCTGGATACTTTTATTTTTTTAACTTTCATTTAAAGACACAGAGTTTGTTGACACGCAGGTACCACGTGTGCACAGCAAGCTGGTGAGAAGCACTGAAAAGATCAAAACATCAAGCAGCAATAAAGAATCATCAATCTGAGTATTTCTTAAAAGCAAAAACTTGTCGAATCTCTAATTCTAGCTTCTGATATGTTAATATTTTCCGGTTTCCTGACTCCTCTGTGACAGTAGTCTCAAAATGTTTCTAATTTTGAGACTTTTGTCGCAATTTTCCGCCATTTTACAGACAAAACAGCAAAAGGACGGATTAATCGACAATGAAATTAATGATTAGTCGCAGCTCGAGGTGCTGAAAACCCTGCAGTGTCAGCTGTATGGAAAGGTTGATGTTGCCCCCACATGAAGCAAACTCTTAAATCAGCGACACAAAACTCAGCATGAGTCGTATCTGAATCTCATCCAAAAGCAAAACACTGTGCTGGATGCCTTCGCAAGTGTTACACCACATGATAAAGGCTCCTTTTTTCCCTGTTTTTAGTAAGTACTTTTTATTTTCTATGCAGACGGACTCTTGTTCAAAATCACCACAATCACTCTAGAATCATTCATTCTCTCCAAACTGAGTTATTGAAGAGATCGGAGGGAAAATTCCTGAATTTTTTCAATATATATCACAAAATGACTAAATGTTGCATCGTGCGGCTCTAGTCTTGATTCAAAGTGGAGCCGTTTTCTACATCTGATCTTCAATCTGTGGCGTAATTTTGCAGTTTACAATAACAAAGATTACGCGTTAAATCACATGTTAAAACGTTAGATTCTTATTTAATTGCTCGTGAAGTGTAAATATTTGTGAGACTTTTCTTCCACGCCAGATCTGAATCTCTCCCAAAGCAAAACAATATATTTTATAATGTTTTTGCAAGTGTTCCACCACATGATAAAGGTCCCTATTGCTTTTTTTCTGCTTATTAAATGTTGTTTTTTTATTTTCTGTGTACATGCAGTCCCCTAAAAAATCCCCACAATCATTTTAGAGAGGTTAATTATTTCCAAATAGTTTTTACAATCATCTGGTTGAACATATATATTGCGGAAAAGCTGATTATCACAATATTGTAGGTCTGGACCGGCTGAATGACAGAACTGTGTGAACACTATGGTCAGAAAACTCTTCCTCCTACTTCACACTAGAGAAACACCAACCTTCACTTCCACCAGCCTGCACACTCATTATGAGTCAGCAGCAGAACGCCGGGTTCCTGTATGTAACGTGGACTCAAACACATGGCGAGGTCCATTGGAAATTTGTCTGTTTTTAATTCACGTCTATATTCCCAACTGCTATCTAGGAAGTCAGGCGTCTGCCTTTAACAGCAGCTGTTGACAGGCTGTGTCCATTGTTCTGTGCTGCTATATCGGTCCACAGAGGAAGGAGAAGTGAGTGTAAACCGACATGTAGCTGTGGATTAAAACGTCAGCTCAGTGTGGTTCTTTTGAGGAAAACCAACAATCAGCTTCGTCTTAACAGTCACGAATGAGAGAAACACCACTTGTTCACCGCAACAGGATAAGCTAACGTCCTGTGAATAGCTAAGCTGTTTGCATGGTTGGAAATAACCACACAAAAAACTCCCATTACTGTAGTTTTTCTTGAGCAGAAGAAGAAGGAGGAGGAGGAGGTTATAGATCTCAGGCACTAGCAAGAAAAATTCGCAGATGCTGCTTCGCTTTTTTGGCTCTCTGCCAAAGCACACGGGGTTAACGAATAGTTAAAAAGATTTGAAAATGTCTGGAAAACACCGGCGGACACAAGACGCGTTCCACTTACAGGGTTTCTTGGTTTGTGGCTGAGTAAAAGTCGCTCGGGGCGATGCAGGGCGGCGTCTGAGGGCATCGGCTGTTATCCGAACCTGTGTTTGACAGCTACAACCAGGAAGTCAGCGGTGGGGAGCGACGGCGAGGGGAGCCAATCGGAGGGCAGCGCTCGAATCAGCTCGTCCAATAGGATTCGAAGGGAGGCGGGGCCACGTGGTTGACGTAAAGCGAGGGTAAGATTGCGCAACTCTCCATCCTCCTTCCTCAGGATAATAATAAAGAGGCAGAAGAGCCGCCAGCTGTCGTTTTTCTGCGTTCCAGGACATGAGGCGAGCAGAAACACATCAAAGCTTCAGGATACAAATACAATTACAGTTTGACAGTGTTTTTGCAGCGTCAAAACACTGGCATTGTTTAGGACCTTAAAAAATTGGGGGATCAGCTCAGCACAAAAAACCACAATAACAATAAATCTGTAAAGAAATGGTGAAAATCTGGCAAGAAGGGTCCTAAAAATATATATCAAAAAACAGTGGAGTACTGTAATGTTCAAACACTGTTTTTAAAAAAACAGAAAAAAATAAACGTGTGAAAATAGAAGCAACTATCTTTACAATAATAAGAAAAAATCTTTACAGCAGTTAAGATGCAAATTAATACGTTTTCTAGATATCTAGGTTACAAGCTATTTAACACAGCAGGGAAACTCTATAAACAACAGTTAATTGTTTTTAATAGCTAAAAACATAGAGGATTTTTTAAAACTTTACAGAAATGTTCTTTTCTATTTTACAGGTTTTCTTTCTTGAAAATTTGGGATTTAACAATTTATGGTCCCGATGATTGTTGAGGCCAATATGAGGCATTTTTAGATTATCATCATTTTTGATGACCGGCTATCACAAAATAACTTAAATGTGCATCTTTGGTTCTGATGCAGCCGTCTCTCCTGGCAGTCACTCTGTGGTCTTAATGTCCTGCCCACTACTCTATCTGACTGGCTGTTACACTGCCTCAGTGACAGCCAATCACTGAAAGCTATTGTTTACACAGAGAGACATTTGCAGAGCATTGAAGCTCCGGTGAATTAGAGGAGCAGGGTTTGAAAGGTGAGATGTTGCTGAAGGTTTAATAAACACTGCAGTCCTCCATAAGCGTTCATAGCGTTGCACAGAAAGAGCCCAATGACTGGCTCTTAGGTGTAAACAACTGGTGCAGCTAGAACTTATTCTACTGACAGTGCTAAGCTAACGCTATCGCCAAGAGGTCAGCTGTGAATCTTGTGGTGCAGCTAACGCTTGGAACACCTGAACATATTCCTAAAGTCAGACAAACTTAAACAGGAGAGCACAGAAGCACAGTCATCTCCTTAAATCAGGTCATGAACCTCTTTCACAGTTGCCATGGTGATGGCGGTATGCATAGATGCAGCGCCCCCTTCAGGAGACAATGAAAGTGAACGTTTTCAGTGTCTTGTCTATCCCAGACGTTCTTGCGGCGATCGGTTGTGATGTGGACAAACTACACCAACACGGAGTCCGATCGGAGACTACGTTGGCAGTTACCCGAGAGAAGGAAGTGCAAACGGTAGAGACGTAAACAAAAGGGGAAGAGAGCTGGGAGCCATGCTAGGCTAAAGGCTGACCCCTCCAGACCAGCAGGACCGTCCTCCTACTCTCCAATGTCCACTCCCTCCACAACAAGCTGGATGTTTGCTGAGAGAAACCCGCAGAAAGTGGAGGGACTGCTGTGTGTTTGCTTTAACAGAAACATGGCTCCATGACAACATCCCAGACGGTCATACATCTGGAAGGGATGCAGACAGACAGACAGCTAGCTCTGGGCAGCATCTGCGGCTTCACCATCGTCACACCATCGTGTGTCTTTGTGTCCCTGAAGACCTACCAGGACCTGAAGAGGTTCGCCATGTCCAACGAATGGCGGCGCGCATGGACACAGCGCCCCCTTCAGGAGACAGTGAACGTTTAGTGTCTTATCC